GTTGGCTCGGAACTCAGTGAGAATGCTTGTCAAATAAGCACAGTATTGGAGTCACCTTCACGTACCTGAAGCACACATGCATCTGCGCGCATTGAGTATTACGAATTGTGACTCAGAGTAAACCACTCAACCATCGCACCTCGCTTTTAAAGGGCGTGTCCCACCTTTGGGCTCATTTCAAAAACAAGCTGCGTTAAAACCTCAGGACCAGTTATGACTAATTATAGCGATGGGTAGTCCCACTGCAGCACCGTTAAGGCAAAATAAGGATATCAATTTTGATAATTGTTTCGTCCAAATTACGCTGTCAACGCTTCGTAACAGCGCTGTGCTTCTTCCCTACACTTGTTGCGATAGCCATCGTCGACAACCGCCGAGGCACCTCTACTGATGCGAATAAAAGAACGTTCGTGATTGGCTCAGCCGGTGGCGAGGACCTGTTACCGAGAAGTGGATTGCTTGAAGTTTGAGCCAGTGTGCCACTTTGGACTCCTGTGATGCTTCCTTTCCCAAACCCAAAGCGCGCCTGGAAAAGAGCCATTGTGGTAAACGTCGTGTGGGAGAAATCAGTCACAATACTTTTCCTTGACATCGCGGGATAATAGCTGCATGCTCGCACATGTTTTGTCTTAACGGAATGCTTCAACTTTTCATAGCATATTTTCCAAAAAAAATTTGCTTACTTGATGTGTTGCGAACCTTACAAAACACACACGTTGTAAAAAGCAAGGCAAATGAGATACATTACTTTCATAGTGGTAGGCAGGGAGTCCAGTGAGACTTCTTCCGCAGGAGCGGATACTTCGTATCAAAATGCTTTGCTCTTCAGAAGGATTTTGAGAGAACTGGTATAACTGATCAAATCACATGCGTATGAGCTAACAGTAAGCGACAGATACAAAAAAAGGTGTCATGCTCGCGTTAAGTTCCAGTGACCGGTCTAGTCTGTGCCCCACTCCTGGCATCCCGACGGCTGGTTGAAGCCAGCACATTTCCTAGAAGGAAACGTGCCGCGATCCCATCCCAGGCTCTGTACCGGCGGCGGTATCACAGGCTGTCACCAGGCCGGCCCGCTCCGATCCATCGCCGCTTCTTACAGCGATGCTCCTGAAGGACAACGGAGGCGGCCCAGGCGGCCGCAGACCACCGCCAGGCACGCTATTTTGCCGACGCAGGAAGCGTTTCGTCCTTGTGGCCGAGCGCAATGCGGAGTGCGCAGAGGGCCTTCCGCAAGGGAATGGAAGGCCCAGGCGTTCGGGTAAGCGGAGGAGAGAAGACAGGAATTGCCAGTCTGACGACGAATGAGAGGAGACAGACCAGTCTGACGACGAATGAGAGGAGACAGACCAGTCTGACGACGAATGAGAGGAGGGAGGACTTACCAGTCTGACGACGAATGAAAGTAGGAAGGATTTGCCAGTCTGACGACGAATGAGAGGAGACAGACCAGTCTGACGACGAATGAGAGGAGGGAGGACTTACCAGTCTGACGACGAATGAAAGTAGGAAGGATTTGCCAGTCTGACGACGAATGGGGGAGGAAGGACCTACCAGTCTGACGACGAATGGGGGAGGAAGGACCTACCAGTCTGACGACGAATGAGAGGAGACAGGACTTACCAGCCTGACGACGGCCGTGACTTGTGTGGAGCGGAAGTTCGGAAAACACTTGCCCACCGCCTGAAACGCTTTTAAGCCGTAGACGAAACAGTAGTCTTAACAAGTCCTGTGATGAATAAAATGAATTGAGCTGTCCAGAGGACTACCTACGATGCAAACGTTCCCTTATCCCACCTTCCAGGGGCGCAGCCAGAGTCGTACCTAGAGTGCCAATGTCCCCATACCACACCTTCCAGGGGCGCAGCCAGAGCCGTGCCTATAGTGCCAAAGTCTCCATACCACACCTTCCAGGGGCGCAGCCAGAGCCGTGCCTATAGTGCCAATGTCTCCATACCACACCTTCCAGGGGCGCCGCCAGAGCCGTGCCTAAAGTGCCAATGTCTCCATACCACACCTTCCAGGGGCGCCGCCAGAGCCGTGCCTATAGTGCCAATGTCTCCATACCACACCTTCCAGGAGCGCGGCCAGAGGCATGCCTATAGTGCCAATGTCTCCATACCACACCTTCCAGGGGCGCAGCCAGAGCAGTGGCAAGGGAGGGAGAGGCACAAGGTTGACAAAGGGCCTCCTGATGGTGAAATTCCGCCTCCCCCCCCCCCGCAAAAATCGCCGGATATGGCCTGCTTCTTACTGAGAGGCACGCCCTTCTTTGTTTCGCCATTATCTTCAACTTCTGTAACTAAACCAGAGACCAGAATCTACAGCAAGATCAATTCCGTTTGAATTTTGAGGTCAATAAGCTGAAGAAATGAGACGTTAAGCGGCTGAATGGAAGAAATCACCGATGCTCTTTATTTCACAACGGTTTACAGGACTGTTTCTAAGCCGATAGATCTCAAAAGCTTTGTCAGAATTTTGATCTGCGTTCTAGTGTGAAATTAAGTACCCCGTGAACGTAAATTGCAGATTGCAATGTGTCAAAGGGTAGTAATATCATGTGTAACTATGTTCGTATCTAAATTCAGGAAATTCGGTCACTCAGTCGGGACCGATTAGTGAGAAAAATATGTAACGTCCTTTTCAACGTGCTCATTCGCAAGTCTTAGCAACAAAACCCTCGACGCCCGGCGCTGCGGTCTACATGGGCCGCGCGGGGTCAGAGCGCGATTTTTACTAAGCGGTGGCTAACGGGTGGACGTAAGTGATGACGCGTCTGAAAGAAGTGCATTTGAATGCTATCATGGTTTAAACATGAATTCGCAGATTCAGAAGGTGTTCCGGACGTATTTTGGATTGGTAATAAGATCGGGTTGCCCTTTACAGCACTGCGAGATGGTCCTCGGATCTGGCAGCGGAACCGGGAGAGCAAAAGTGGCGACTTTATTTTTCGTGTCGCTTTAACTGTTGAGCCGTCCAAAGGGCAGCTTACAAATCAAAAAGTGAAAAGATTAAAAAGCCGATGATAAGAAATGTCCGTTACAGATCATGTTCCGGACAAGTTTGAATTTAGTCGGTTTTCCTTTTTTGTAAACCAGTCCCCTCTCGTGTGTCTCCTTGAATTTATGTCTCATTTAGTTAAACTTTGTTGGCCTGTCCTTTCCGGTCCCTTCCGACTGGTGGCTGGTCCCCACCTGGTGGACGCCATGCCGGGGCCCTGCCACTGGTCGGAAGGAACCGGGCTAGTTCATGACCTAGCGACGCCAGGGAAAGGACGTGCGTGTTCCCTCCCTGGCCTGATCAGACAACAGATCACCTTTCCTATCTTTCGGGCGTCGAGCCAACCCACAATTCCGCTTCTGCCGCACGCGTTATGTCCGTTGGCTTGGTTAGTTCAGCGTTTTGCGGTCGTCAACCACCATTTTTAATAAAAAAATGAATTGTAGACAAGACGTAATACTGCAGCCATCATCCCGGTTTATTTTCAATGCCGAAATCGTCCCGGGCGGGTAACGCGCTCTGCTGTGTTAAGCAGGTTCTCGGGAGGGGCTGACATCCGCGGCCGCCGTGAGGCCGGCTCCTGGCTGACGGCCGCTGCAGCCGTGAGACCGTCCTGGACTGACGGCCGTGGCAGCCGTGAGACCGACTCCCGCCTGACGGCCGCGTACACTCCTGACGACATGAGGTGCTGTGAGCCGGCGACGCGAAGCGAGGACGGCGGAAAGATGGCCCATGACGATTCGCCTTGCATGAATTTATTTTTCATTAGCTCTCCAAGAAATGTCGCATTGTCTCCATAAGCTGACATTGGGACTCAGCTCCGAAAATATTTCGTACAACTGATGCTTCAGAAAAGTCACGAAGTTTCACAACGTGGCTTATGACAGCTTGGAACACAGTCGCATGTCACCGATGGTTTGATATGGCCTGTCATGAAATTGGGGTATATTTTACTCAGCACGATTCGTCGGGCTTAATGCACAAGCTCTACCACTTACATCATCTGAAAAGTTTTGTTATTATTTTGAGTTGCTCGCTCATATTTATTTAAGTGTTTAGAGTACCTAAATGCATGGTTCATATCGACCAGGCGCACAGCATCAACATGCAAGAGAAAGAAGAAAACGTCCCTGGACGTTCGAATAGCACCCATGAACTTTCTGGAAATAATGACTTCGCTTCCAGCAGCCAGGAGCATAGCACAATAGAAAACTATTTGTTAGGGCTTACCAGGATTCTGAGCTTACTCAGTGATCGGTAAAGCTTTTCGTGGAATTAAATTTTTGGTCTAGTTCAAACCGTCTGCTACTGCGCCTTTTCTCACACACCGAGTCTGGTCAACGTGACTATTGTACGTGATTGGTGGCGTATAGCAATTCATCACACGCCGAACGACTCATGCGTGGAATGGAAAAATTGAGTTTCTCTGGATTTTGGATCCATCTGTTGCTCATGAATCAAAATTCCGGTCTGCACCGGTTCATCCCTGCACCTTCGTGAAATTGTTTGATCCATTCCATCTCGGTATATGGCGTGGCTCACAACGCATGTAGCCCGGAAACAGCTCTAGTGGCCAGGACGTGATGCCCTTCAAACGCCTGTATTACCCAGCTTGTTTAGGGGATTACCAGTCGAGGACCTTTTTAATACCATACTGTGAAACCCTGCAGGCTTCTATGTCGTTATATCATGCAGGTGTTTTAACAGGTAAAGCGTGTAAGGTGACACTGACGACGTGCTATCGTCAGCGTCCGAGAGCAGACGCGCGTATAAGCATTGTCAGAATGCAGTATTAGAGGTCTGTCTGCAGCCAAACGTAAGCAGTTATTGTAGAGCTGCATGCTGAAGACACCGGTTCTTCTGAATTAGCAAATCGTTCTGCAGCTAGCTGGGCCTTCGTTCGGCAATCTTCCAGTCGGGAACTGCTGCGAGGACGACGAATTGTTCGTGCTGAATGGCAACTATTGCGGCTCCAGCTGTGTATGAGTACTCAACAGCCAGAACAAAGTTCTTGGTATATTTCACAAGATTCAACGCTGTTGCTTGCCTGTTTAACAGGTAAAGCGGGAAATAACTAGTTAAATAAATAAAAATCGTCTGCCTACCGCGCATCCAACCGGACGGCGCCTTGTCCGCTCTGGGTCCTTGTCGTTCATAAACCTTTGAAAAACAGGGGAGCACAGCAGGATAGGCTATCACAGTCAAAATAAAATACAACGTAGTGTGGCACGTCTGCTCCAAGGAACGGCACGTCGCGAGCCGCCGATCTTCCGGCTGCGCGCTGCGGAGCCGGGGTCGGGGCCGTTCTGCACGCACGACGTGGGGTCCGCTTCTTGACGCCACTGATGCCGCGCGCCTGTCGAAGGAGCGAGCCGCACCCGCCCGCTCTGAGATCAAATTTCAGGTGTCGCCCGCCTGGCGCCGCCACGAGAGCCTCTCTGCGTCCTGACTCGGAAGGTCCTCTCGCCGCCGTGGCCGAGCGCAGGTCCTCTCGCCGCCGTGGCCGATCGCGGGTCCTCCCCGCCGCGGCCGAGCGCGCGTCCTCCCAGCCGCGGCCGAGAGCGGGTCCTCCTGGTCGCGGCTGAGCGCGGGTCCTCCCCGCCGCGGCGCAGGAGGAGTCGGGCCGCCTCGGTGCCGGCCTCACTGCGTGACGCAGGTGGTGGTCTCGTACAGGCAGTCGCTGAGCGTGAGTGTCGAGCAGCCCTGGCAGCGGCCGCACAGACAGAAGTAGCCCTCGCCACACAGGATCGGACCCTTGAAGTGTGCTCGGCATGGCATGCCGGGACCCTGCGGACGGGGCGGCACATTAGCAGGGCCGACGCCGATGTACGGGCCACATCGGCCGAGCACGCGACCCTTCTCGCCTTGCCAGCACGCTGCTCTGGGGCGCGTAACCTCGTTGGAAGTTGTCCGATACATTTACATTTAACATGTGTTTGAGTAATATGTGCAATATGTCTGTTGCACATGCTAGGATGACAAATGTTGACAGCCCGCGTGTGCATTACCCTCATGTTAAATACATTTGATTTAATTCATTCATCATTCAATTCATATGATCATTGTGAAATACGTTTTACGTCTGAAATCAAAATATCCAAATCCATGGTAATTTGCCTCACATCAGTTTCGTCTCATAAAGAATGCAAAGAAAACGACTGTTATGGAAATGGTTTAATGTAAAATTGTACCTTTACTATAACATTGGTCAAATCGGACATTACACTTAACAGCTCATGGTACTCTTCTGAAAAATGTTGAGCCGAAATACCGTTCACACAATGTACTTACCCTTCCACAGATGCGAATGCTGTCTTGCGTGAGAACGACACCAAATCTGCAGTTCTTGTTGGAGACGTCTCGAATAGTGCCAGCCATTGACTCTCTGTAAGAATGAACGAATGCAGCTGAGGCAACTGGCTTGGCTTACGGGCATCATAGAATCACTGGCGTGATGATTGCACAAATAATAGCATGTTGCCCTGATCAGGTTGAGCGATGTCGTTATCATAGTTATCATAGGTCTGTAGGTCTGTATCATAGGTCTGTATCATAGTTATCATAGCTATTGTAGAGCTAACCGCGCATCCAACCGGACGGCGCCTGTCCGCTCTGGGTCCTTGTCGTTCATAAAGGATATCGTTAGGATATCGTTATCGTATCATAGGATATCGTTATCATAGGTCAGCTGACGCAAGTATATACCGGCGCCACCAAGCGGAGCAGAAGCACTGGCTCCGTTGGTCCCGGGACGTCTTAAGATCTCTACCAAATGGCGACATTTAAAGCATGTTACCGGTGGCAGTCCCAGCGGTCATTTCGGAACCCGTGCACCGCCCATGGATTTTCCAACCCCTTTTGGAGCTCTCTGCTCATTTCGTGGCTATAAGCTTTTCTGGCTTGTTGGAACCTTGCCGGGTGTTAATTCGTGATCGTCTCGGAACTCCTCAAGCTCATCAATGTCGTGTTCAGCCTTCATGACCATACGCATCTCGGCCTCTTAGCTTATGTCAGCGACTTTTTAAGGGTCAAGGCTCTCTTCTGACAATGGGTGAGAGCCTTCGGCACAGCAAGCTCCAGATCGTCTCAGGGTAAGTCGACTGCAATGAATGTGTTGACCGTTCCAGGGCTATATAGCTGCACATAAGTGAATGTTTCACAAGACCCGACGCTGGTGCTCCGCTAAAGTCAGCCATCTTTAGACCACCTGACCGCCTTTGGCCAGTTATCCTTTCGGGAACCCCTGATCGCCTGCTCCGTTCCCTGATATTTCCGGGACTGTGGCAAGTGCGAGTCTCTTATTCTGCTGTCTGCGTTCAATTTTTGAGTCTCGCATGCTACTGATGAGTCATTTAAACGCTTCCGTGAACCTGTGGCAGGAACAACTACAGCGCAAAAGTAAAGCCTAACCCCGCTTCCCCAGATTGAGCCTGGGAGGAGCGTGTTCGCGTGGAGATTTGGGGAGCTTTATCCTCCTCACCTGCAGAGGCAGACGAGCAGCGCCAGCAGACACACCAGCAGTGACTTCGACCAAAGATGCATGCTGAGGGCGTCCTGCAACAGAAGAGCCGGGGTCGGCGCGTGGCAACACGACCTCGCCACTCGCGCGGTCACAGTACTGGACTGGCGGCCGAGCGGGCGCCGCCGGCTCTTAAAACCGGGCGGGCCAGCCTGCCATCCTCCCCCGCCGCCCAGCCTGATTGGTGGTGACGGTGTGGCGACCTGTCCAAAGTTCGCCGCCGGGCGAGCGAGCCCCCGCTGCCGGTCGTGGCGCGGCCCACCGGCGGCCTGGCGGCCCGGCGGCTGCACGGCCGCGCGTCTGGTGCCGGCTGTGATTACATTGTACGAGTACACCAAAGTCGCTGCCAGGCCCCGCTCCGAGGCAAAAACATGTTTTTGCGCCTGGTACAGGGGCGGACCTAAGGTGTAGCGGAAAGGAGGCCTGCCCACTGGGCGGCGCCGTTTGGCGCGACAGGTGTACGACACTTGGGAAGCGGTCCCATGTAACCGGGCCGAATATCCCCGCAGACACCGCTCGCTGTCTCCGGATTCGCTTCTGAGGCGCATTTGAACGCTTCGTTGTCATTTCCATTTCACGCATAAATACGCTGATACACAACCTGTCCGTGACCTTGCTTCCGTCGTAAGCGAATCACCATACATGTTTATGTGGGGCTTCCTTCCGGACTTTATCCGATGCGAAGTGAAGACCCCAAGTCATTCGCAATGGCCCAGCATTATTGGTTAGCTGTCACGACTCATTCATTCGTTCTTAAGGCTTGCGAGATATTAACTAAATAACACCTTTGCTCAACCAGAATGAATACTATATCTATTTAATGGATGCAATGTTCCTCTGCTCATAACAACTTAATATTTTAATGGCATCCTGTGCCTGGCATGTGTATTCGTTGAAGGCCGTAAGCATACTTACTATGGCATCCGTAATAGCATATTGTCAAGCGCCAATCTCAAATACAGTATTTTTGTTTTTAGAAAATTATTTATGATACAACAACTTTACATTAAGACATGCTATAAGCGCCAAGATCGCCTTGTAATAATCAGCCGGACAATCCGCATCATCACAGAGAAACAAATGGGGATATCTTGATGGCCGCTGACCTGCCTTCTAGAAACACAGCCCGAACGTCGAGAAGTTCAATATAAAACCATGGACCGGCGGCAGTTGTGGTTGGAACTTGTTTAAAGGCGTAGCATGCAAACTGGAGACGTGCCATGATTGCAAGGCAGCTGTGCTAAAATCCAGTGGATGTCTAGGACAAATGCAAGGAAAATCTAAAATATTGTTCGTCATTCATTTGCATGGGTGGGATGATTGGTGCTACCCTCACGTAATAACGCAATTTGTTTCCCGACATTTGCACATCCGCTCCACAGCTTGAATTTGGGAGGAATGGAACGATGCAGGCAAAGGGGAAAGTCCGGTGATAGCAGAGAGCTTACGAGCTTACAGTTGGGATCTTAGACGCGGTTTCTAAGAGAAGGGATTCTTCGGCTCGGCCACCTAGCAACAAACTATCGCCATAATTCCTGACATTAACAACACGCCTTCTTTTGCGGAGTGGTGACGCCATTTTAGAACCTTTGGCCTACTTATTGAATAAAAAAATCGGTCACTCTCTTCGGTTTCATGCACATATTAAAAACTCTGACACCATTTTCAAAGGAATAATGTAAATTATGTTGCGCACCTGAAAATCTCAGGGGCCATCATCTATTCATCTGAGCGGTCATGGTGCAACTGGTGTGCGAAACCGGACCCCTCACGAGGGAGCCAAAGACGCTGACCACTCACCCATTACGCTCTCTTTAAGAGCAGAGAAGTGGCCCTGCACGGCTGTGAGTTTAAGTAGTGTTCTTATGATGCTTTTTGTAGCAAACCTACCAAATTCCATTATTCCCCCACGAGTTATTCGCCGTTTCTTTTCCTCGGCCCCCGGCTGATCCCGATCCGCTCCATTTTCCTCAATGCATTGTCCCACCGCGTCGCGTAATAACTCTACCCACGAGTAGAGTTTACATTGCAAGCTTCACACAAACCTGGTTTGGGTCTTCTGTGTCGGGTAGGTCTCGTCGGGGGTAACCCAGGACGGCCGCTACATTACCCCACCCACGCTATCCTTCTGAACCTCACAACGCTGAAATGCTGGCCAAAAAGTCCTCGCTGACGGCGACTGCTGGGACCGGACCAAGCAAACGCCCACTCAGGCGTAACACCATTTACTTCCAAAGGCCGGCGCGAGGTTATTTGAGGTAATCACATGACAAACGCTGATAATGACATATCACACAAGTGACATGACACAACAGCACGTTTCGGTCGAGGTATGTATTGCCTTGCCCCGAGACCATTATTCCGCAACAGGTTATCTTAGGGTGACAAACAGACAAGCAAAAATTGTCCATTTTAGAGAAGTCGTGCAATCACTTTTCCAGCATTATCATCACCATCACCATCATTATCATCGATCCAAGCCACATTCTTTTGCGAGCTATTTGTCGAGTGCAGCACTTGATCTCCCGTTGATTTTTGTTATGTTGCCATGCCAGAGGAAAAAGCAAGGTTTGCCTAGACGGCCTGAACCCACAGAACAAATGCACCGCATGCAAATATCGCAGTGCAAGTTTTTGAATCGTAGTTCTTGCTGTTCTTGCTGTGTCAGCTGTTTTTGGTGGTATTTATCGCCCATTAATAAGTAAGGTTGCAAACAACGCGACATCGGCCCCGGCGATCCCGGATTGGGCTTGGAGCTTTCCGTTAAAATAACTGTTAAGACTCGCACGCAGTGCAAAATGTGAAAATTGCACACGAGAATCCGTACGGGCATGCCTTTGACAAAAAAGTGTTTGCTCCCCATTTTGCGGGTAGATGTTGCCTCAAGTGTTGTAAGTCAGATAGGTTTGAGAGCATGAAAAAGATGCGAAAACAAACAAGGGCCGTTTCACCAATGTACGGCGGAGAGTTTCCTACCCGGTGTAGAGCTCCCCATCCGTAACAAAGGTCTCCTCGCTGCGGTTATCCTTCGCCGCCGTTGGCTCCCACACACGGCCCGGGACTAGCGGCGCCAGCTTGCGGCATCGGCTCCCCCTATGACGTCACTTACGTGAGCGCGGTGATTGCAGGCGCCTTCCCCGACACTGCCAGCCTGGAAATGGCCGAACGGCTCTCCATACCTGGCTTTTATAGCTCAGACGGGCACGTGCAGTGCGCGTGCGCGGAGGTCTCTCCACGTGACTCGCTGTCCGAAGAGGGTAAATCCCCAATGCCACAGCTCGGATACATGACTACGGGCAACTAAACGTGTCACTGACCTGGTGTGAAGGCCATGAAATTTAAAACAAGTCGTCAGCATGCAATAAGTGCCTTCTTCCATTCAGACGCCTGTAAAGAGCAGCGAAGATTGTTTCCTTGCGTTTGTATTCAGTCCATGGAAATGGTTAGTCGTTGCTTGTCCTCGGGAGGAACCAATGACGTCATTTTCTTAGTTCGTTCCCAACGCTGATCTGCACAGACCCGACAGACCAAACCGCATAGATGCAACGCTCCCTGTGGCAGCAGCCGAGGTGTTCGTGATATACCCTTAACCTTATCCTAATCCTTACCCTTACCCCTATATCCTTCTGTGAGCAAAACCAAATCATGGCCGGCCACTTCCTGCCCATCAGGTCCGCAGAAGTCACAAAAGGGCACTCTGAAAGGACACTGAAAGGAATGCAGCCCAATGAGGCTCCGGCTTCCGCCGCTGTTTGCGTAACTACGCCCTCACATGGCGTGTGTCCGCGCAGTCAGGTCAAATGTGTGCTGCATGTGACGCATCCATGCACTCTGTGACGTAATCGTCTTAACTGCCAGTGGCATAGCAATTCGCCATGCCTTGATTGAGGCATCAGGGCATGTGGTGCTGACCATAGCTGCA